TGGAGCCATCAAAGTGCATTTAGAACACTTTGGAAATATTGGAAAAAGAGCTTGTATTAAATTATTTAAAATACAAATAAAAACCAAATGTATTATCTCAATTGATCTTGATATTTTAGACTGACCGGAGGCCGTATTTCTACAACTCCAAGTGATCATCGATTTCTGGTTCCACTAGCACTGCTTTCGCTGCCAGCTCAACCAACACCGCATCCATGGCCTCCTGGTGCTCTAACCCCAAGTCAAAGACGGCCTTCTCCTTCAACAGCTCGGAGATCGGAGCCAAGATCGAAGCAAAGTTAGGGATATATTTCTGCCAGTATCCGATCGTGTGGTACCATGATCGCAGAAGATCTTGATTAGTCGGGGCAGGCATGCATAATATAGACGTAAGCTTATCATCATCAATGGTTGCCCCATGCTTGTCTACTAACCTACCTAACGCTAACAATGGCTCGTCATCGAACGCAAAGCAGGACTTATATAGCGGTAACTTGGTGTTGTTCTCCTTGCATGCCGCCACCAGCTGAACAATTGCATTCCAGTGGTCTCGCGGGTCATCGTGCCCCATGCCCATATCATCAATATAAATACTGAGATCCTCAACCGAGCGAAATGCGTACTCCATTCGCTGTTGCATAATCCACGACGCCGGCTTGAGCCCGAAAGGCATCCCTACAAACTTCCGCAATTTCCATGGCGTCCAAAACGTCGTAAACTTCTGCAAGACTTCTGCCACCTTCTGCTGACAAAACCATTGGCCAAAGTTTACCAAGGTCCGATACCTCTTACACCGTATGGTAGACAAGAACTGCCGCTCAGTAGGCGAAGGGTACGGTTCACAGTGCAACGTTTTGTTAATCATCTTGTAGTTTACACAGCAAGCCCTGGCTTCTTATACACCATTTGCGACATAGCACAGTACTCCCCAGACTCCTCGAGGGAGGTCTCATTCGTAACTCCGCCAGAGTCCCACGAATAGACCTTGGTCCACAGCACCTTCCTGAAGGTGGGCTCCTTGTTATGGTACACATTGTAGCAGGGCTTGGTGCCCTCTTTTACTCTGAATCGACATCAGGCAGGTTCATGAACGTCGGGTTGTCCTTATCGTACGCAACAGACTCAATATCTGCGATTAATGCTTCAACCTCCTGCCGTGGTATACCCAGATTCGCCGCTAACCGTCGTAAGGGCTTCTGGTTGAAATCTTTGCAATCTTTCGCTGTCGGCGTGTCTCCACATTCTGCTTCTTGCCCTACTGGCAAATCTACCGGAGCCAGCTCGTCAGGTATTGGCGGCAACTTACACTCTCCCATGAGGCCACCGGTATAGTCGTGCTGTCATGCCTCAACCCTAGCCAACACCTTCTGGAAGTGCGCCGTCGCTGCCGCCATAGTCGCCTACTTCTGTTGCTGCCCTCACAATCGCGCCCGCACTCTACGCAGCCTATCATCTCTTAGCCGCCGCAACGGGCATCGCTTCTCATTTACGACACGCTGCCACTTATTATGCTTCCTGCAGCACCACTGGCTGGGTTTGACAAGCGGTCCTTTTTCTGGCACCTTCATTTGAGTTACTAAGAACTCTATCACTTCTTCCTGCAGTATAAGCGTAAAGTGCTTCTGCTTGTTCCATGCTAGGGCATACGTATGCTTCTGCATGGATTTGTATCCTAATAATATGTCCGTTTCAATGGGCAACGACTTTACCACGAACATGTCGAGAAAGGGCTTTGCCAACCGGTCTGCCCATGTCCGAAGCACCACAGGCGTACTGACAACTCCGGACGGCGTCACAGTTACCATGTCTGCAACTCCTTTGTATGGCTGACCCGTATAAGGTTGCGGACATAAACCTACTTCTTCCACGAGCTCTTCTGTAATGAGGTCAGGCGTGGCGCCCGGGTCGACATATACCGTAATTGGCACACCCTCCAGAGCACCATCACAAACGCTGCCCACATCCAGTTTAATCTCATCTTCTGTAACATATTCATCCAGATCTAAGGATACATCCGGAATAATCGGTCTATTCTCCTCCAGGGGCTGCGATGCAACATCCACGTTACCATCCGCGTCTAACGGTACCTGTGGAATCGGAGGTACCCTATTTACGGCAGCCACTACACCTGACTGCACATCTACGGACGGTGCCACCTGGCCCAACTTAGCCTCGGTGCTGGCCATAACTTCACCCTCCTTTACAGTCTTCGAAGTGTCCCCGAAGTTATGACCAGCAGCCCGTCACTTCTCATCTGTCTCTTTAGCTTCCGGACACTTCCGCTGCACATGGCCGTACTTGTCACAAGTTCAACAATATATTTCCGACTTGTTCGTGCCAACTCCACGGCCACCACGTCCGCTCCGGCCTCCTCGAGCACCTCGGCCTCGGCCTCGGCCTCTGCCTCCGCCTCGAGTACCTCTGTAAGATTGCCTATCCGCACGCATTTGCTTAACTTCCTTCTGTAAGTCAGTAAATGCCGCAACATTCGACTCAAATCCCGTGGGCGCTTCTTTGCGATTTAGAGGGTCCCGCAAATCCCCCGCGCGATCACCTGCTCCTCCTCGAGGAATCTCCTGTCTGGCCTGTCCTGCTGCCACCTTGTCACCTGTGGCAAAGAACTCCAGAACTCCTGCTGCCACCTTGTCACCTGTGGCAAAGAACTCCAGAACTCCTGCTAGCCCTTTGGACTTGTAAAATAGCACCGCAGTGTTGGCCTGCATCGCATCGCTCGACAGTAAGCGTAGCAAAAAGTCTGGAATCGCTCCATGTAGTTCTTTCACAGCTCTGCTCACCATTCTACCGTACTCTGGGTACTCTGGGTACAGGTTTTGCATCCCCAGCAAGTACACGCTCCATTCTGAACCAAAGGCTTGTACCGCTAAGTGGGCACCAATGCCCACATCCGTATCTCGAACCATTTAACGCTCTGGGCAGCGTCTGGGTTCTGCTGCTCTTTGAATAACAGCGTACCTTCATATAGGCGACGTCCAAGAGTTTTTATCTGTTCACTAGCGTCTTCCTCCTCACGACGCTCACTCTCTTGTCTGTCTACGTTGCCCCCACTACTGCCTCGACCTCGCCCATGACCTCGTCCAGCTCGCCCTCAACCTGTCCGGGCGACTACCGCCGGCTCCTCTTCAAGCGGCTCCATGGTAAACGGATCAATAGCAGCCCTGGCAGCTCCTTCCTCGTACTGGTTCACTACTTCTTTCCACAAGAAGTGCCCTTGGATGGCCTTGAACCCATTCCTGCTGATCTCGTCCACCAGCACAAAAGCCAAATCTTTCGCTGATGCCATTGATCCATTGAGCTCCTCCTGTGCAATCACGTCTCCTCTTCTGCCTAGCGCAGCAAAAGTCTGCGCATAGCACACCTTAAGCATTTGGGACTCCGTGGAAACGATTGCCGACTCTATCAGTTGGATGTCCATCAAGCTTGGTCCCAACACAGCCACCAGCCTAGAATGCATCGGTGGTGGCACTCCTCGTTCCAGCATCACTCGGGCCTGCATCTCCTGGCGATCCTTGACGTTCCTCGCCACGTTGTATCCTCGGAGGTCCCTCAGCTATACCCCATCGCGCCGGTCCCAAGCAGAGTATCTGACCCATTCGTACCCTGTGTAAGGCTCAATCTCATTCACTCCTGGCATCTTGATCGTTAAAAAATTGTTTCAGCTACCTAGTTTTATTGTGAGTAGTTCTGAACACGAGAGGATCTTTACTAGGCTTAGTTCAGTCTTTATTCTACAATTCATATTACTAGTATAGTAGCTTCTGGTCCATCACCCTTCTGGGCTTGCGCTATGTATACTCCTGCGCGTCCCATCTCCTAACTACTAATTTCTCCTACTTCCTACTGAACTGACCTGGCTATCGGTCGGGACGCCGACCTTCAGTCTTTCTATCCTCCCTTAGCTAGCCTTGCCCCACATGGGCCCCACCCATGTGGGGTCTGAACCTTCCTGAATCACTGCGTTCCCGTTGTAGTTGTCCATCCTTGTACAACTACGTTATCCAAGCATCTCTCCATCATCCCACACCAATGTTCCCCCAGTGTCCGTCATCAATAATTCCTGGCGTTGGCGACAAATGAGATTCGTCCAAGTATCTCAATCGGCGGCAATCCTATATCACCGATGTTTTATACTGAACACCACTACCACACCCACAGCAATCACAAT